GACAGTGAATTGTCATTTGAAAACTTAGGGAGGAGGTAGTCATCTGATAAACTCTAAACATTTTGGATTTTTACCAAGTCATGGATGTTATGTATGCTTCTGCTCCATATGTTGGCCCCATATGTTCTCTGTTCTGCATATTTAACTGTGATGTGTTTATTTTATAATAAAATGTAATGGATCAATTTAGGGAAAATACTACACTTTTAAAGCTTGTCTGTATTCTTTTAAAGTTGGCATATATAAAGTATCAGACATTTTACATTCTATTTTTTTCTATACATGTACAAAACATATTTTTTTCTGGAAGACTTAAAATAATTGCTTTTTTTTTTTAAATTTTCCAATTACTTTTTCATTCTCTTGAGCAAAATTCCATATAACCTATTAAAAGCTCTACTAAAGCTGCTTTGTCTGTTGTGAGGAGTGTGAAGAGAATCTTTCAAATTCTTCTGGCTGTAAAAGTGAGCGCTCTTTACATGGTTACTGATGCTTCATTTTCAAGTCTCTCTGTTTCTAGGCAAGCTTGTCTGTCCAGCTCAAACCTCTGGCATGAGTGCCTCTTCAGAGGACAGTACTATTTACATGAATGCTCTGTTTTGAAATAGAAGTGGAAGCCACCAGAATTAATGCAGCTTTGTGGCACCCTAAAAGAGTGTAAGCCACATGTTTTTAGATACTCTGGAGTTCTCATCCATTTATCATATAAAACTTGGTTATTATGGTGATGTGTATAGACCTTGTTTTAGGATTGTCAATGAGAAAGTTAATTGTTGTAAGGAAAAATCTATAACAGCAAGCACAGTTATCACTAGTACCCAAGGCTTATCTAGCTGTACTGAATTTAATTTTTCTAGTACATTTGATGAATTTCTTCTTGGTTTAAAGCCTAAAATGACAGTGTTTTGCAAGCAGATGGAGGTTAAAAGACTTTGTGAATGGTAGGTGCCTGCACAGATAGACACAGGGACTTTTTTGGACATGAGGCAGCAAATGCATTGAACTTTAAGATATCACCAAAAGCAGCCTGTTTTATTGTCAGTGAAGAGGGGTTTATAGATACAAACAGATAAAGATAATGAATTGGAGGATGTCCTTGTTAACCTCAGTACCTTAGACCTTAAACTTCTGAGGAATTTTTTCTCTTATGTCCTGACCTCCTCAGAACAACTTAAGTATTTTGTGTTAATTACTTGAATCATGAAGAGAGTAATATTTCTTTGCCATTGGCTCTTAGGAAGGCAATTTTTCAGTGAATTTGGAATAGTTAGGTATTGTTGCTATGTATATGCTATAAAGGCATCAGAGATGTTAATGTATATGCTCGTCTGATAAAATATTAATAGACAATAAGAGTTTAATAGGAACAGTTAATAAGTTTCAAATCACTAGATTACACAAATACAGATCATTGTAGGATTTAGGTGGTGTGTACAATAATCAAAATTTTGAATTAATTAACCACAGAAAAATGGTACCTTTCTTAACCATTAATGATTATGACAGATAAGAAAGTATTTTAGGTGGCAAACTGAGTGAACTGATGAAGACTAAAATCACAATTTCCATAATTATCATGCTGTAATTAACCCCCCCCATGTTTATATTAATATGTACACTGATAATTATATACATGCAGAATCACAGAATAGTTGAGGTTGGAAGGGACCTCTGGAGATCATCTAGTCCAACCCCCCTGCTCAAGCAGGGTCGCCTAGAGCAGGTTACTCAGGACCATGTCCAGACGGCTTTTGAACATCTCCAAAGATGGAGATTCCACAACCTCTCTGGGCAACCTGGTCCAATGTTCAACCACCCTCATAGTAAAGAAGTGTTTTCTTACATTCAAGTGAAAGGTCCTGTGTTTCAATTTGTGACCATTGCCTCTTGTCCTGTCACTGGGCACCACTAAAAATAGTCTGGACCCATCCTCTTTGTTCTCTCCCATCAGATATTTATAAACAATGATAAGATTCCCCCCGAGCATTCTCCAGGCTAAATTGTCCCAGCTCTCTGAGTTTCTCGTTGTATGAGAGATGCTCCAGTCCCTTAATCATCTTCCTGGCCCTTTGCTGGACTCGTTCCAGTATGTCTCATGTCTCTCTTGTATTGGGTAGCCCAGAATTGGACACAGGACTCCAGGTGAGGCCTCACCAGGGCTGAATAGAGGGGGAGGATCACCTCCCTCGACCTGCTGGCAACACTCTGCCTAATGCAGCCCAGGATGCTTTTGTCACTAAGGCACATTGCTGGCTCGTGGTCAACTTGTCCACCAGGACCCCCAGGTCCTTCTCCACAGAGCTGCTTTCCAACAGGTCAGCCCCCAGCCTGTACTGGTGCATGGGATTATTCCTCCCTAGGTGCAGGACCCTGCACTTGCCTTTGTTGAAGTTCATGAGGTTCCTCTCTGCCCAGCTCTCCAGCCTGTCCAGGTCCCTCCGCATGGCAGCACAGCCCTCTGGTGTATTGGCCGCTCCTCCCAGTTTTGCATTATCTGCAAACTTGCTGAGGGTGCATTCTGTCCCTTCATCCAGGTCATTAATGAATACGTTAAACAGTATTTGACTCAGTATTGACTGCGATATTAGTAATGCAGATATGTTTAATGTGATTTGGTTGGGGTTGCTGTGAGAATGATGGTTTATGTTACAGTTATCAGTCAAAATGTTTTAATAGATGATGTTTTTCCATATTGAATTAGTATCTTAAGAAGAAGAAATGTATGACTGATCACACATTCAAATAACTGGATTTGTAATTTTTTTCATCACTTAGCACTCCAGTTATAAATATGCCTGGAATCTCTGACTGCTCATTCTTAGAAATGTAAGGAATACAATTCATTTCTCTGTGTGCAGAATATGATTTTAAATGTTAACTTTATTTTCATATTTTTTCCTGAAATGTCAAGGCTGCAATTAAAAAAAAAATTACTATTCAGGATAATCTCTATTTATTTTGGGATATACTTTTAAATGATGCTCTGATTAGAGGTGGACTTAAGTTCATGCTCATTTTTTTTTCCAGAACCTAAGTTTAAGTTCCTGGCCCTAACTTTGAACTTAAAAGCTTGAAAAAACAGATCCTGCACATGAATAACTTTCCATTGAAGTAGCTGGTAATCCCCACACATGCAGGGGCCTCTTTCACATAGAACATCTTGAAAGCCTGGGGACCCAAGCCCACCGAAAGCTTGAGATTTTTTTAAAGAGAAAATACATTGGAATGAGAGAGAACCCAGTAGTTGCTGGAAGTTTTCAAAAGGAGCAAAATGAATGATTCACTGTCTGGAAAAATCTGCGTTCAAGTTAAGCCTATTTTACTTACGCTCTAGAGAAGGTTCAGAGATGATTTGTCTGTGGTTGTTAAGTGCCTGCATGGAAAAAGGTTTCTGATAGTAAAGAGAGATTTACCTAGCAGGTAAAGCTGAAAGTTCAACCCATCAAAATTTAGACTAGAAATAATGCACAAAATGTTTAATAATGAAAATAATTACTATTAGAACAGCTTACACTAGAATATGGTGAATACTCATCACTTTAAATATGGATCATATATCTTTCTGAAAGACCTCCTCTAGTTCAGTAACACTTCATGAGATTAATGCTAAAACTCACCATTATTTTATCAATGAACACTTCTTGGCTGACATTATGCAGAAAATCAGGCCAGCTGATCATAATGCTTTTAAAATCCTTAAGATCTCTGTTTTTAAAATCTATGGATGTGTGGCCACACATATATTGTCTTCAGTGACATATTCCCCAGTGCCTTGTTCTCTCAACTGTTTGTGGTGCTATGTTGTGAGACAAAGCAGGGAACAGTTTCTTCTTTTTTTAAAAAAATATATATATTACTTTTTAATTTACTTTTTTAAAGGATTGGTTCTCTGAACAGATCACAAACTTATCTCAATGAAATATTCATTTTAGTAGTGTAATTTAACCAGCATAAGCTCTTCGGATAGTACTGTAATAATTAAAATAGGATAAGGAGGGCTCATTTAAATACTGTCCACAGGGAGAATAAGTGGTTTTAAATGTACAGATGGCTTTTTCCATTGTTTTTGGGTTTTTTTCCATTTAACATGGCTAAGTATGTGCCTTTTACTGTACATCCCATTGTCTCTATCATTTTTAATGTTTTTGCTATTCTAGCTCTGCAGTTAAAATACAGTTAAATTGTAATTTTATTTTTAATGCTGTCATTACAGAAATAATCAAAAGATGTATTAATATATAGGGGAAAGAATGGGAATGGGTATGGGTGTATTGTATTTACGCATTTGTATTAGGAGTAATACTACTGTATAATTAGTGGTATATAATACTTTTTCTTTTAAAAGACAATTATTCTGAACACCTTTGAATTTTTCTTTTGTTACGGATGGCTCCTACAGTCTATGTAAACCCTCAGGTTTCATTTACTTTGAGAGCTGTGGATATTCAAAGAATGCTCTGACAGGCTGTCCAACTGAAACTAATGGCAGAAAACCCTACTGACTTATTTTAGGGTTGGGATTTCACTCTATGATTGTAGAGAGCAGAAATTTTGTTTCTAATTCACATTCCTGGATTCAAACTGTGCACAGGTCTTTCTCACATAATTGGAGGAAAAAATGCTGAGGCCTTTCTTAACATTTTGTTCTGGGATTTTTATTTATTTTTTTAATTAAAAATATTATTATTCACTTATTTTTTCTGTTTGCAACGCAGCTTACAGGTAAATCCATTTCTTCTATTTCCTGAGCAGGGAGGAAGGTAAATTGGACATTGAAAGTGGGGTCTTGCAGTACACATGCAAGCAAAATGCCTCCCTGACTTCATTGGGGAGGTTTGCCTTCATGGGGACTTCAGGATGAGGCCTTTCAGTAGAATGTATCCCTTAGCCAGGACTGAACTAGATATTTCTATTGAACTTTGGACAATCTATAAGAATTTCTCCGATCAACCTTTTTTACTATCTTGTTTTGAGTCCTTTTTAATGACATCTATTATCAGATTGAAATGGCGATTGAGACACTGCAAAAGTCTGATGGTCTTTCCACTCACAGAAGCTCTCTTCTCAACAGCCATGTAAGTTGCCTCTTCTTCATGAAAGCTAATCTCTTGCTTGTTCTGCATGCTTAGCCTGTCTCTAAATGTTTGTTTTAATTTATTGTCACATTTTGCTTTTAATTTTTCCATTTTAGTTACTTATCTTATACTACATTTTCCATGGCTAGATTTTGTCAGGTTAAGTATCATGTTATGTTGTAGAGTGCATCTGTTTTCTAGCTTCTGTATTGTGTTAACACAGCTTAACACATTTGTCTATTCTGCAGGTCCTAATGTAAATGTAAAAATAATAATCAAATAATTCTTAATTATTCTATTTGTCTACAATTTATGTACCCTATATAATGATTCAGGAGCAGGTAAAGGGAGAAAGAATCAGCGCACATTGAATTTAGATTACTTTTTAAATCTTTCAGTTATTCTGAATGGTTGTTATAAGATGACATAAGAATTCTGAAGACCTATAGGATGAGCTAAAAATCTTAAAACAATCTATTAGTCTGAAATATGTTTTATTCATCTACCTCTTACTTTGAAAATCCTATAGTTAAAAATTTTCCATAAGAGAAAGCCGGAGATGTTTGCATAAAAAGATAGCTTCCAAATATTGTGGTAAAGCCATTAAATATAACTTTTAAGTAAAGGAGAAAGCCTCAAAGTTTAATCTTCAAATTGTTTTTAAACAGTGCTAGTCCTTCTTGAAATATTATTTAAACATGCTTTTTTCCTTCAGTTGGTATAACTAGCTTTGTATTTTTTTTAAATGCTGCTAAGTTTCTATACATACTGCCTCCTTTTTGCTTCTCAGCCTTACTAATCAACGTTAACTTATATATTTTTCAGATTCTTGTATTCCTTTCCCACAGAAAGGTGAACATTGATATATGAATGTATGAGTATATTTGGTAGAGGTTATCACTCAGAAATGAAAACATGCACTTGTTTTGATTTGGATCCCCCCCCTTCTCTAAAAAATATGGTAATCTGGAGGTGAAAAATAAGATTGTTTTGTCAAAGTTTCCCATCATGGCAGAAAAAGGCAGTAAAATTTTTTTGGAAGAGAACTTACTTTTCTTAGAAAATGCTAAAATTGGATGAGGGGAATTGAATTCTGTAGAATATGAAGTACTTTTAGATCATCATGAATTTTTATAAAATAATTGTTTTGATGCTAAGACAATCTAGAAATATATTAAAAATATTTTAATATCATGGTTAAATGGACCATATTTTTTGGCAAAATATCAGAAATCTGTCTTAAAACTTAGAAGTACAAAGAATTGAGAAGTTTGCCTTGACTCTAATAAAAAAAAAAAAAAAAAAAGTCCAGAACCTTGGTATTGAAAAAAATAAGAGAACCTTGGTATTGAAAACAATAAGAATTAGAAGACAAGCTTCTTTACATCAGAAAACTGTATTCCCCTATTTCCTGTGTTATGCACTTGTTAAAATATCTTCCTAATAATGAGACTTGCATCTCTCTGTTATGCTAGTCTTATCCTGATATTTCCTTCTTAACTCTTCTGAGGTATTTTTAAAAACTATTGAAAGACAGAGGGATGTATTGTCGATTCTGTGGAAAAAAACCTCCATGCATCTTACTGTAATAATTGTTCTTTCCTAGCCTCAGTTATTTTGGAAGAAATTGATGGAACCCAGATCAAACTTATCAGATGACTTCCCTATTTTTAAAGGAATCCTTGTTGAATTATGACTCAAATAAGGACAGTAAATACAGTTCTAGTTTTTCTTCTTCCTTAAACAGCTCTTCATTTTGTTTTACAGGGCTTTAATTTGATATTTATTAAAACAACTGATTTCTAAAGGTTTTAGAGTAGAATTCCTTCATATTTAATTAGTATTAACATAACATTTGTAGTGTGAAAGGTAATCTGTGACAAAGATCTTTAGCTGTAGAAAACACTTTGGCTTTCTACAGTACTATATCTCTGTTAGACTCTCTGGAGTTTTGTTGCTTAAGTTAATGCTTGTTTATTTTAATTAATTTTTCATTATTGCTCTACTTTTTCCTTTCCTGATTTCTTTCTGCATGAGATTGACTTGCCAAATTAATTTATAATCTAATGTTTTATAAACATTGAAGTTTTGTTGGCATCAATTTACCAATTCCATGTAAGCATTTCATACCATTCCATCTTCAAATGTTGTTAATACACACACGCACGCACAAAAAACAAGCCAGGATTCAAAGTGTGGACACATCAATTTTAGAATTAGATTCTACATGGGAAAAAAATATTTCTAAGGTTTTTGACAATAGCTTTATAATGTCTGCAGATTATTTACCTTTTTTAATGATATTCAGCTATTGGCACTTTTCCTTCCAGGCTGTAACCTAGCAAGTAATCACTTCAAGCTTTTGTTATTGAAATATGTTCACCCTAGAGCAAAAATCCTTATTTTGTACTTATCTTGGGTTTTGCTTTCCCAGTGTTGGCTAATGCCAAAGGATGGTTGAAATAATCTGTCAGAAATGCAGATCATTAATAAAGTGCACTTAAATGAATCCTAATAAATTATAATTCATCTGGAAAAACTCTAATGCTACATTTAGAAGTTAATTAGGAAATAATTTTCTTTGTCCATCAATAAATTTTTTCCTGGGTAAGGGATAGGAATAGTTCACATTACATAATCTAATTAGTATAGATGAAATACAGAGGTTGAAAGATATAATTACGATATGCTTAGACAATTAGTAAAATAGTTTTTTTAATACACTCAGGTAAAGGTTAAAGTTTATGATGATATTTTTCCTAGGCTTTATTTCAGAATCGTAAGTGCTCAATATTTGTGAATGTTAAGACACTTTTAATAATGTTTTTATATCTACAAGTTGATATAAGGATGATGAACTGTGCTTTTTTTTTATGTCTGTATAAAGTGCAACATTATCTATGAATTGAGCTATTTTACATCTTGGAACCGTTTAGATCTTGCTTCTCTTACATCTTTCCTTGAACTCTTGTTTAGAAATCTAAGCACAAGAGTTATGGTGATGTTTTCTGTTAAAAAGCAAACATGAAGATGGTGTTTGAAAGGGTTAGAGTAAATGTTTTGATTTTTGCATTTTTATTGTGCTTGGTAAATTGTTCACAATCGACTAAAACAGAGCTGTACATCCAATATATTAATTATAATCTAAATTTTAGTAGTAGTTTTGCAATAAAGAAGGGGTCAGAGTGGAAAGTTATTTCATGAGTAATGCACATTAAAATATTAATATTCATGTCCTTTAAATGACAAATTACATCAAACATTGGTGGAACAGAATTTGTTTAGTGCTCTATTAATAGATAACCCTGCAGAGTAATGTACTAAATAACACATGAGCCTTGTATATCTTTTACCATAGTTACCATTTATATTTTTGTCATATTAATTGTTTTGATGGACTAAATTGAAACGGATTATATATTTGTGTGAGGCTCCAGTGCATTGGAATAAAATGTTGTTGCAAATCTTGAAAACATCCATGGCTTGGTTTCATTGGATGTTCAAACTAAGCCCAGAGTTTTGGTAAGATTTGTGAACCTGGCAAACTTGGATGTTCATGCTGATTTGTTTTGGCATCATTAGTTAGGAAAACGTGCAAAATAAATACAAACACAAAATGAAAATTGAGAATCATTCAAGCTGGAATTAAAGGGAAATTCCAAGGATATGAAACCATGGAGGGGGAAGCTAAGTAAAATTTAGCATCTCAAAAAAACTGAATCATGGAATTTAAGGATGAGTACTATTTTAAAAAAAAAAAAAAAATCTGTTTTATTCTCTCATTCTCCTATGCTGTTAAATCTGGTATTAAAGTGACTGTTTTACCTGGGGTTTGGATGTATGCTAGTGACTATTTGTTCTAGATTTTTGAATGTATGCTATGTATAAGGTACAGTTGTGTATTAAAAACTGTTTTCTTAAATTCTTCCAAATAAAAAAGAACACAACCTCCATTAGAGGGTAACCCCCCCCCCCCCCCCCCCCCCCCCCCCCCCCAACAAACAACACTTTTCACAGGATATAATTCTGTTGTTCTTCAAAGAGAAAGGCAAACAGACTACAACAAAAAGGGATTGGGCCCAAAATAGTTTACAGATGTAACTAGCAATCTAAATGACACTAAAAATAAGTGGTACCTTATATTTGAAAGTTTCTTCTTTGTATTTGAAAGAAAATAAACCCTACTCAGTTAAATGAAGGGTTTTATTTTTTTTTTCAGGTGAAGAGAAACAGTATAACACTCCAGGATTACAAATGTGTTAGTTAACTCCTGTTAATCCAAGCAGTTTGTTTATTTTATTTATTTGAAGTACCAACGATTCATCTCCAAAGCATAAATAACTTCATTAAATGTTAATGTATGGTACTGAATTTGAAATATTTAGAAGTGGAGCTATCTGAGGTCGTAAGTGCAATGAGTTGTGTTATTTCCTTGTAATTCTTAAAAGATACTAAGGCATCATGGCATATCTAGCATTTAAAAATATTTAAAGAGATTACATTTGCTTGAAAAACAAAGTCACTATTTAATAGGCCTTAAGAGTGGCCTTAAATATTGGAGGTTTGTATTGTACAGTTAAGGTTGTTTTTTTTTTAAGTAGAGTAATACTGAATTTACTTCAATTTCATGTTTTACATAGCTCCAATGGCTTCTAGACAACTATGAAACCGCAGAAGGAGTGAGCCTCCCCAGAAGTACCCTTTACAACCATTACTTACGACATTGTCAGGAGCACAAGTTGGATCCAGTCAATGCTGCCTCCTTTGGAAAACTCATACGGTCAATTTTCATGGGATTACGGACCAGAAGACTGGGAACCAGGTTTGTGTTAATGAAATCTCAAACTAAAATAGAAAATAGCAATAATTGTGGACGTGAAGCTTTTATGTTATTTCCTAAACAACAGAAAAAAAATATTTAAACCTTACTGGACTTTGCATGTCCAGCTAGTAGGGACACTGAACATGGGTTTCAAAGATGCAGATAAACACACACGACATGAACACGGCCAGCCACACAGATTAACACAGAGCAGTGCCTTTACCAGCACCCACATAAACACCAACAGCACTCAAACGTGAATGCTGATAGCCCAATCCAATCCTGATCAACTGGAGAGGAAGAACAGAAGTTCACTAGTGAAACACACACACCCTCACTCATTCACAAGCATACCTCATTTACAGAATTGTTTTATTCCCCATGACTACATAAACATTTGGTTTTCACTTTCCTTATTCTATTTAAGTGGAGTCCACTGGTAAAGTGTTGGAAAATATAGCTAAAGTGAATTGATTCCCAGAAGCTGGTGAAGTTATACCAGTGTTATACTGGTGCGAGAGGAAGGTCAAGCCTAATTTATATGTACTATTTTTCCAATCAAGGTAAACTGTAAAGTGAGTATAACATATATATAACTAACGTTATTTTTGTTCTTTTAATGCTTGTTCTTTCATAAAGGGGGAACTCCAAATATCATTATTATGGGATTCGTGTGAAGCCAGATTCACCCCTTAATCGGCTACAAGAGGACGTGCAATATATGGCTATGAGACAACAACCCATGCAGCAGAAACAGAGGTACAGTGTTAAATACATGAGAGTACTTGTTCATATTTCTAGTTCTTGGAGACTATCCCTGTAACATCAGAGGCCTCAATCCAGACTGAGCTCCTGCAGGAGGATGCAGCTCTCAGGCTGCAGGGAGTGCCTGGGGCCTCTCACTGAGGCTGGAGCAGAGGGAGATGGTCTCCTTGCCTGCAGAAGGCATGTGGTGGTGCAGGATCTGTGTTGCCAAGTAAAGTAGGTGTGGAAGGAGGTCAGCAGACTGCACAGTATCAGAAATGATGAGGAAAAAAAATCAACTGAATCTTCTCTGAGATCCTGCTGCCTGAACCCTCAACTGTAATGAAGGAATGTCAGGCAGAGTCTGTGCTTATTGGGTTGGGAAACGGAGACTCCCATGATAGCCAAGGCTGGAAGCTTGTGACTTCTGGCACTAGGAGGAAGGCTCCTTCTCTACCTGCATATCTCCAACTAAAGAACAGGTTCAGTGCCCTCGTAGCAGATGAGGGGCTCCGTCCAATGAAGCACCTGAACGAGCTGAGCCTGAACCACACGGCAGCACCAGGAAGAAGCAGCAAGCAATAACAGTGCGAGATTCCCTGCCACAGGGGATGGGGACCCCCACCTGCTGACCTGACCAGCTGCCTAGGGAGGTTAGCTGCTTGCTGGGGGCTTGGAGTTGGAATATTGTGGAAAGACTGACAAGGCTTGTCCAGTTCTCGGACTATTACCCATTGCTACTCTTCCACACCAACAATGCCAGGGGAAACTTGGACCATATCAAGGGCGACTACATGGCTCTGGGGGTGATAGTCAAGGGCATGGGGGCCCAAGCAGTGGTCTCCTCAATCATACTGGTGAAGGGGAAGGGCTTGAGGAGGAGTGGAAGCATCCTATAGGTCAACAATTGGTTGCACAGCTGGTGTCAACAACAGGGATTTGGTTTCTATAACCAAACCCTCTTTGAGGAGCAAAGGCTGATAGGGAGAGATGGGATCCACCTGACCAAGTGGGGCAAAAGCATCATTGCCAACAGGCTGGCCAACCTGGTGAGAAGAGCTTTAAATTAGGAATGACAGGGGAAGTGAGGAAGTGGTAGACTGGGTTGGAAAGCAAAGGGTGTAGGGTGATATATACAAGGGAGACCCTGTAATCAGCAAAACAGGGCTGAAGGAGGCCCAATCAGAGTGTATGCACACAAATAAGGAAGTGCCTGCAGGACAGCATTATGGTGAAAGCTCTCATACCTTTTTTGGGAAATCAGCACAACCAAGTGCCTCTGTGAAGTGCCTGTACACTAGTGCATGCAGCATGGGGAATAAGCAGGAGGCATTAGAAGTCTGTGTGCAGTTACAGGGCTACGATCTCATTGGGATCACGGAGACGTGGTGGGATAGCTCACGTGACTGGAATGCTGCGATGGATGGCTACAGGCTCTTGAGGAAGGACAGGCCAGGAAGGATTAGAGGGCAGACCAGCATAGGTGACGTTGTAGTGGGTGTCTGCTACAGACCGACTGATCAGGAAGAAGTAGACGAGGCTGCCTTCAGAACTCTGGAAGAAGCCTCATGTTTGCAGACCCTGGTCCTCATGGGGGACTTGAACCACCCTGTATCTGCTGGAGAGACAACACAGCAGGGTACAAGCAATCCAAGGAGTTTCTGCAGTGCACTGATGACAACTTCCTGACATGGGTGATGGAGGAGCTGACAAGGAGAGGTGCTCTGCTGGACCTGATACTTCCAAACAAGGAAGGACTGGTTGGGGATGTGAAGGTCAGGGGCAGCCTTATCTGCAGTGATCCTGAGATGGTGGAGTTGAGGATCCTGCAGGGAGGGAGCAGGGCAAAAAGCAGGATCAGAACCCTGGACTTCAGGAGAGCAGACTTTGGTCTCTTCAGGGATCTGCTTGGGAGAATCCCAAGGGAGATGGTCCTGGAGAGAACAGGGGTCCAGGAGACCTGGTTGATCTTCAAGGATCACCTCCTCCAAGCTCAAGAATGGTCCATCCCAACAAGCAGGAAAACAAACAAAGGGGGCAGGAGGCCTGTATGGATGAACAAGTAGCTCCTGACTGAACTCAAACATAAAGAGGAAGCGTACAAGAGTTGGAAGCAGGGTCAGAGGACCCAGGAGGAATATAGAGACACTGTCCGAGCATGCAGGGATGGGGTTAGGAAAGCCAAAGCCCGTCTGAAGGTGGCGGGGAGGGATGTGAAGGGCAACAAGAAGGGCTTATACAGGTACATCAGCAGCAAAAGGAAGACTAGGGAAAATCTGGGCCCGCTGCTGAATGGGGCCGGGGCCCTGGTGACAAAGGACACGGAAAAGGCAGGGGTACTGAATGCCTTCTTTGCCTCAGTCTTTACTGAGAAGGCTGGCCTTCAGGAATCCCAGGCCCCTGAGACCAGTGGGAAAGTCTGGAGCAAGGAAGACTTACCCTCAGTAGAGGAGGATCAAGTTGCTGAGGGAGCTGACCAATGTCGTTGCAAAGCCACTCTCGATTATCTTTGAAAGGTCATGGCGATTGGGAGAGATTCCTGAGGACTAGTAGAAAGCAAATGTCACCTTCACCTCGATCCCTGAGAAGGTGATGGAGCAAATAATCCTGGAAACCATTTCCAAACATATGAAGGACAATAAGGTGACTGGGAGTAGTCAGCATGGATTTATGAAGGGGAACTCATGCTTGACCAACCTGATAGCCATCTACAATGAGATGGCTAGCTCAGTAGATGAGGGGAGAGTGGACAATGGATGTTGTTTATATTGACTTTAGCAAGGCTTTCAACGCTGTCTCCCTGCCAGGGAGCAGCGAGGGCCGGCTACTCCCTAAGGGATGGGGAGCTAGGAGCTGAGCAAGATGATATGCAGGGCAGGGGCCTCAGCAGCCAGGGCCCAGTCCCACAATACCTGAGCAAGGCAAGCAGGGCAGACCCAGAGATGGTAGCCAGCTTCAACCAAGAGTCCAGATCACGAGGCAAGTTCATGGTGATGAGGCAGGCTTAAGGTCAAGCTGGGAAGTCAATCTGCAGGTCAGAATCAGGTATGGTGAGGATAACAAGGGTCAGACATGGTCTAATGATCGCTGGGCAGGTCCATAGTGACAAGACAGGTCCAAGGTCAAGCCAGGAAGCCAGTTGGGGTCTAGATCAATGGGGTCTACGGCCAGGCATGGCTGTGGTTGAGCTGGAGACCAGTACTCCTACAACATAGCTCCAGCAGGGACTGAAGGCCTAAGCTTAAATGGGGCTCCTGGGCCCATGGGCAGAGGGTGTGAGTGGAGGCCTCAGGTGAGGCTGGTCAGGGTTCTTAAGGCCTATAAGTGCACTCGGGGCCCTGATGCTCCCATAACATCCTCATAGACAAAGTGATGAAGTACCGTCTAGATAAGTGGACTGTGAGGTGGATTGAAAACTGGCTGAACTGCTGGGCTCAAAGGGTTGTGATCAGTGGCATAAGGTCCAGCTGCAGGCCAGTCACTAGTGGTGTATCCCAGGGGTCAATACTGGAGCCAATACTGTTTAACAACTTCATTAATGACCTAGATGACAGGATAGAGTGTGCGCTCTATAAGTTTGCAGATGATACCAAATTGGGGGGCAGTTGATACACTGGGGCAGTTGATACACTGGCACCTGGGGAGATCACACTGGGGGTTGACCAGCTGGAAAGCATCTTGGCAGACCCAGAGGGTCCTGGTGGACAAGTTGACCATGAGCCAGCAATGCACCCTTGTGGCAAAGAAGGCCAACAGCATCCTGGTCTGCATCTGGCAGATGTTATTGCTAGGCCACTCTCCATCATCTTTGAAAGGTCCTGGAGATCAGGAGAGGTGCCTAAGGACTGGAAGAAAGCCAATGTCACCCCAGTCTTCAAAAAGGGCAAGGAGGAGGAGCCAGGAAACTACAGGCCTGTCAGCCTCACCTCCATCCC